GGGGGGGGGGGGGTTTGTTTATGTTGTGTTTCATTTCTAACCCTCACCTTGACTGTGAAGTCTGCAGCAAGAGGCCCAGATATTCTGAGTATCTCCTTGTCTGGAAACTTCTGGAAGTCAATGCTAGAATTATCCACAAAGAAGGAGCCTGTGGAGCTGAGGCTGTTTTCACCCTTCACACCTTGAAGAGTCTTGGTTTCCAAATCTGGCAAACACAAACAAGTTAAACAGAGATTAGGAGTGCTCTACTGTTTCACACAGAGCAGACATATGCATAAAAGTTAGAAATAATGTTACCAGAATGACAGAATGTAAGAAAGGAAAATTTGCGAAACCTCTCAGCTCGTTATTACTTCATCCCTATACATATTCCCTTTCATTTTTCTATTCCTGCCACCCTTTTTACCTAAGGTGTTCAACAACTTACACCTCTTGGCTCTGCCTCTATACACCAACCCACCTACTCACCCACAGTACACTGGTCTTGCTCTCTTCTCCAGCCTTACCAAGCACATTCACTCTCAGGCTTTCTAATGTGTGCAGCCCTGTATGCAATAAATCATGCTCTTTCGTGGAAGGAGGGAATCGTACTGTGCTTTTTAGTGTTAGTTGTGCTGACTTCTGGTTTTGCTTTTAGAGTTAAAGGGAGCTAAAGGAGGTGTACCACTAAACATGACAAGCTAGGTGGGCCACTGTTACAGGGAGGTCCAACTTTGTAAGGACTTGGGAGAAGCCAGCCCGGTTTTGGGCAAGGCTGGTTAGCAGATGAGAAGGAAGTGTAGGGCTCCAGCTGGGAGATTTAAGAGAAGAGAGAGCGGGTAGGTAGGCTGTGAAGGAACAGTTCTGCCATAGATGGTAACTAGGGTGACACTAGTCCACTGCTCTCTCCCCTCATTCACTACCCCAGGGCAAGGAAAAGGCAGAGGCTTTTTAGTTATTGGTTTGGGGATTGAAGTTCTTTTATACTTAGGAATAAATCTTGTTGAAGAGGTTATGGACAGAACTAGAGAGTGGCTTACAGCAATTACCCAGATCAGTTAAGGAGAGACCAGCATACAGCTACTGCCCACCACTCATTAACTGAAATCAGTTTATCCAGCAAAGAAAAAAAGGAAACACATATAAAATATTAACTAAAGTGTCTGCAAAGAGTCCAAAAAGGAGACTCTAATAGGAAACTCTAATAGGGACAACTAAATTCTTTCTGCCTGCTTTGTTTATCTCTAAAATTGTGCCCAAAGATCCCAAGTCTATCCTGATTCAGGTACTCCTCTGTAGGGTTAATGACCTGACATTTATCAGAGGGCCATAAGAAGTCAGTAATCAAAAGGAAGGCCTGTTATGTCATCTAGTTTTGTCAGTGCCAGCTTGCTCTCTGTAGTATATTTGACAGTGAACTCTTGTCACTATCAAACAGGGATAACAGGTTTCATCATGAAGGATCTCAAAGTGCTTCACAAACTTATTTACAATGTTTAGGAATGCCTTCTCCCACCCGGACACGAGCCAATATACAATGAGTCCCTAAGGAGAATAGTACAGGATACTGAAAAACATATCCATGGGACAGTAATACATGTTCAGAGATGGCAAAAAGAAAAAAGGTTGGACAAATAAAAGTTAATTTTAAAAAATTGTTGCAATTGGGTTGCTTTACAAGGTGGGCCACAGGAATGATCTTATAACAGTAAATGCTGACTATAGTGTATTAAGGAATCTCCCCAATTCCTTGATTTTTGATGAGGTTAGTTTCCATTGCACCAGGATGGAAGCATTTTGGTGAGAACTTCTCTGCATTTCAGACATTCTCAATTATTAATATTCTGTTAACCAGGAAATACAGGGGCTGTCTCAGTGGGTCTACACATCTGCTGGTGCAGCCTCAGACTCCACTGTGAGTCTGGGTACTGCCTCAGGTTCCTCCACCTGGCCTGGGCCCTGACACAGTACTCGCAGTGAGTCTGGGCTCCCCCTTTCTTGATACCCACCAGGGATGTAGGGGCTGGGGTTATCAGGCACCCCACCTGCCTTTCACTGAAAAGATAACTGGCCTGGCATTTCTGGGGGACTATCTCACCACAGACAGTCCTACCAGGCCACCCTTTCCTGGCAGGGTACAGTTTTCTGTTGTACCCAGGACAAGGAGCCTCCTGACACCCCCAATAGATCCTCCCTTACCTCCAAGTTAAGCAGAGCAGAGCAGCCCATGGTGTCTCTTCAGCTCTTGGTAGCGGACTGCTGCTCCAGGCCCACCCCTTATATATATATAACAATTGGGTCTTATTCCCTAATTAGGCCTAACTGAGATAACAGCCAGCTGCAGGCTGCCTGCTTACTACCCATGCCCCTGGGAGTAATAGAGCACAGGGTGTTCTGGTACAGTGAGAAAAGGCCCTTTTTATGCTAGCAGATGCAGGATCAAAGTCAGTGGACTTGCTCCTCATGAGGCAGTACAACTCTTAAGGACAGAATTTGGCTATGCATGTGTACATCCTTTTTTTTTTCCTTCTTGCTGTGCATATGTGCAGGGCAGGGGAAGAGGGAGATTTCTGTGTGTTTAACATATAAGCACCTTGGGGGCTGAGTTCAGCAGTAGGAAAACCTATCCTTTACCCTCCTCAGTATCTCTGTATGTAGCTTTCTTTCCTTTTCTTCCTTCCCTCATCTTTCCTTCTTTCTCTCCTTTTCTATCTATTCCACATGAGATAGAGCCAAAGGGAGCACGATCTGCCTGGCCAATTTTCTGCTGGTGAACTGGTGGTGAACTGGAAACGCTGCAGAAAATGGCTCACAAGGGCTGGTTCTGACAGTGCCCTCCAACGTTTCCACTTCTTGGGCCATGCATGTGTCACATTTGACTTTGGACACCTCGCTTTGCAACAAATTGTGGACTAGTCTGTGTCATGCTAGGTCACTGAGGGGGCATTCTGCAAGGTGGAAGATGCTCAGCTAATCCTAAATATGTAATCCCATGAAGGGCATGGGGGGAAGAGGTTTCAATCTCCAGTAATATTGTGTTTTTGTTGCTGACAAATATTACATGCTCAGCCCCTGGGGGGATGGACGGATGGACATGTTCTTTGGCACTTTCACCCTTTTAATATTTTTATAATAAAGGTTTAAAAAATAAAAGTCTCTCTAATTCTTTTCTCTCTCTCTCTTAATACAGACATGCTTGACATCAAGCTAGCCAGCAAAAATATAAACAAATAGAAACAGCTTAAGACTTATGGAAGGGTCTAAAGGTTTTGAACCTCTGACCAAAAATATAAGTGCAAGTTCCACTGATGTCATGGGACTGGTGAGAGCATCTGAGGGCAGAATTTGTCCCCTGAGTTAAAACTGGTTATTTGAGAGAAAGAAACCAGATGCCCCCTTTGTAAACAGAATGTGATGGGGTAGGAAGGCTTCTCTAAACAAAAACAGAACGTGTCTTTTGTACTTACATAAGTGGCCTGGTCCTTTCAGCACAAGGCGAACATGCCTACTTCCATAGGGAACAGCAATCACCGTGTCATCCACTGGGGAAAAACAAAAATGCGTGGAGTCAACAAGCAAGAAATCCACACCTGTTTCTAAATAAGCATTGAAACAGCTGTTCATGGGAAAACTGCAAGCAAAGTTTTACCAAAAAAGAGAGAGAGAGAGAGACCAGTGAACCCTGACAAAAGGGAAAGGTCTTCCTTAAAATAACATTTGCACTCAGATCCCAACTTGCTGATTTCTTATTTACACTCTGCTCCTACCCAAGATTTACAGTGTTTCAAGAACAACTGGCAGCTTTTTATTTCTCCTTGCCTCCAATTCAAACACAGGACATCTTGCAGTTCCAAATGATTTTGGTTTGTATATCTGTGTTCAGTTAGGGAAGCATAAAACTGTTAGAATCTTCAAAGGAAAAAAGCTGAACTCCAGACCTCCCCATTCTTTCACCCACCACGATTCCTCCCCAGCTGAACCCCTAAAGCCCTTTCTTTTTCACTTCCCTTAGTCTCTCACGTGATCTCTCCTTCAACTCAGGAAACTTTCCTCTTCCCAACTCACAGCACACCTCAAGTCGACATATCCAAAGGTGAAAGGCACAACCTTATCATAGCGCAGTAATTGTTTTACTTTACTTGCTAGAGCAAAAAGCCCTGGTACAACACAGGTCTGTTAAGAACTGTCCCATAAACAGGTGCTTAGGGATGGAGCCTGAGCCACTGGAGTCTTAGGGAACATTGCCAACAGCTTTAATTAGGGCTGGACTGAATCTGTAAGAAGTGCCTGACAATAGCCACTAATTCACTTTCACATGTAGTTTATTTGCTGCTGTGACAGTTAGCTCAGTGACATTTAAGAGCCAACAATCCCAATAATGTCTAGCTGCACTGCAGGGGGACTTGGCTCCGTATATTTGCTTCCTGGCTGTCCAGCTGAACAGCTGATTAACAGGAGTGATAGGTGGGGAGAGCACTCAGTGTGCTTCTCCTCCTTTCTCTGCTTTTTCACTACCCCTTCCTTATCCATCTAGAAGCTGAAAGTCAGAATCAAAGGGCACACACAGAAGTGACAATTTTCACCCAATCTGGCCACAGAATGTGATCTAAAGGCATTACCAAACACAAGTGCACAGCTGCAAACCATTTAAAAAATGGCCAGTTGGATAAAATCTGACCCCGCATTGCATGAGGGTTCAGATGAAGATGCTTCAAAATAGAGTGTCTTCTGTAACTTGCATCTGCACTGCCTCCCAGCCTGTTGCTGTTTTCAGAATGGGGCAGGAGGAAGCGGAGGGAATTTGGTCTGGGGTTTTTCAATCCATGCTAGTGTGCAGGCAGGTATATTTGGAGCTCTCCCCTCCCTGAGGTAGGGGGCTCCAATTCACCCACCCTAGTTTCCAGCACTAACTGGGGAGCCCATTGACTAAGCTCCCTTTTGCCCCTCCAATTCTGAAAACAGAAACAGGCTGAGAAGGAGAAGGAGCCATTGCTAGGGGAAACTGGCTGCACGCTCCCAAGCAGCAGGTAGTTTCCCCACCCCTTGAAACCAACAGTGAACTTCTGTTTGGTCCAGGTGGGGGGAAATGTGGCAGGGCACTGTTAGTGCCTGCCACTTTAAGGGCTGAGCCAAGCAGCCAGCAGGTGCTTAATTGTGGCAGCCATGTTAGATCCATGGCTGCTTGCTACTGGCAGGCCAGGTAGTAACATTGTTTGGCTGAACATCCTGGAGGTAAAGGCAGGAGCTGTAGGGGAGGGGTTGGAGGCTCCTGGTCCTGGGCATGACCTAAAACTGCACCCTACTAGGAGTGGGTGGCTTGGTGGGGCTCTCAGTGGCATGGGAGCCCCCAGGAAATGCCTAGCCAGTTACCACCCTGGTGGAAGGCAAGTAGGGGTGCCTTAACCCCAGTGCTTGCCTTCAGGCAGGCCATACACTAACAGAGCAGGGTAGGCCAGGTAAGCTTCTAGAGGTGCCTGAGCCTGCTAGGGGAATGACCCTGTAGGGCTAGGCATACTTCCAAGAGCAGCTAAGCTAGGAATGGGGGACCCCGATCCCTAAATGAAGGCAGGAGGGGAAAACACACCCAAGGCACTCAACTGGTCAATGCTGGGGCCAGGACTGGAAGGGACAAAAGGGTTAGGGGCCCACCATGAGGGATGCCCACAACAACCAAAGAAGCTCGGGGTCCCAACTGGCCTGAGACAGGACCAGGGCTTACAGAAGGTGAAGGTCCCATGATTGGGGGCCACAGCTAATGGGTGAAGGGGGTGGTTGCATCAACTGCCTGAGATGCCATCTGCGAGGCTTGGGCTGTGGTGTAGGGGTAGAACAGGGCTGCAGATAGCCACCCAATATTGGAGTGTACAATGGGCAGCCTCCTGCCTGAATTAAGAACCTAATTAATTAACAAGAAGGTGTGAGAGAGGTGGGTGGTATGCCCAGAGGCAAGTGAGGAAACTAGCTCTGTAGCTAGCCAGGGACTCCCAACTTGCCACAGGGTGGTGGTTGTAGCTTGGAATGCTTCCTGCAAAGTGATCTGAGTCAGTGGGAAGCTGCACTTCTGTCTGTGCCCAAAAAGAAAAATAATGTTGTGCCCCTGAAAGCTAAAGTTTTGCAAGGAGATAGTGTTCCCCTCTCTCCTCCCTAGAATTATTCTTATGACAAAGCTGCATGATTCCCACTACCTAAGAGCTGTTTAGCTTTGCTTGTTACCTTGACACATGAAAGCAACTTTGCCACTAAATATTTTCTTTCATCTGAGGATCTTAACTGTGGACAGGATTTTTTTTTAAAATAAGTTATTTTGGTATGGGGAGAAAAGCTGTACTTTACTGGAACCCAGCTGGGATCCTCGTATAGAGGAGCATTTATCCTAAAACGAAGAGCAGCTAAATATTTAATAGGGTCATCTCAATTTTTGTCATTGTGATTAAGAGTCAATGCCCTGTTGTAATGACTCATACCTCTTTTAGAACTTGTTTCTGTTTCTCTGATTCAGGAAAATGAAAATCTATCTGTTCCTTCACAGTTTTATTCAGAGCCTTGAGTTTTAAAAGCTCATCCACTAGAACAGATGTCACTGCCTCATAATGACTTCTCATAAAGGAAAGCTTTGGGTGCCTTATAGCTAGCTTTATAAAGTTGGGAAGAAGTTGGCAGAGTCTTTAGAATTATATCTGTGTCCACATTTGTGAACTTAGTTCACCTTTTTTATCTTAAAGGTGTATGGACAGAAAGTGCTGAAAATAGAAAGTCTCTGTTTAACCACAGGTCATGTAAAGTGCAAGCAAAGGCAAATATTCCATACTGGCTCTCAGTTGGCTCAACTTAGTCTTAATAAGCATGCCCCAATGTCCCCCTTCACTTGCTCTCTCATGAAAAGTGACTCAGTATCCACACGATGGTATTTCTACCATGACCTGCTGCTGACCAGAAATTAGCACCTTTGTCACATCCAGTGCAATAGCTATGAAGTCTGTTCATAAGCCAAGTTAAAGCCTTGCAATTCAGTTCAGTGAATCATGTCACTGTCTAGACTTTACGGTGTAAGACCAGTTCAGTATTTACAATATTTTTTTTTATCTAGCTGCCTTAGGCTATAAATCTCATCTAGTCCAGGCAAAAATCACTCATGCCACAAAACCATTCCTTGTTTCAGCCTTATGTAGCTTTCATGACATGAAGAAAACTCTGAATAGGAGATGAAGTTTGCATTATGATTGGCTGGAATACCGCTAAAGAAAGTTCTCTTCTTACAGAAACCATTTGGGAGCTGCAAAGTCATAATCAATTTAGGATTATCAGTACTAGGAAAAAAATAGTAAGCTCCCTGCTGACATCCTAGATGATCTTTTAATCAGCTGATGCCAGCATGTTTGTCATAATGTGTCAGATAATTTCGGATTATATGTGTATATGTATGGAAGAGGCAGGAGGGGGAAGGCTGGGGGGGTGGGGTGGGGGAGATAAATTGCAATTACTTTCAGACTATTTCAGACAACACTGCTGGTAAGTCTGTTCAACCAAATTTTGAATATCCAGACTCTGGTAACCAGAACCCTTTGTTATCCAAAGTTCAAACAGGTACCCTAGGATTTACTGAAACTATTGTCCTGAAGGGTTTCCAAACTTTCCAGGACAGAAGTGTGGTCCAACAGCATTGGATATTTCCAATAGCACCACTGTCCAGAATTTATAAACTCTGTAATGCTAGCATTTCAGTCTTGCGGAGCTCCTAAGCTTTACAGAAGAGATTCTGTGAAGCTAGCTACTTTGGACAAACCCAGTAGCCTTTATCATTGGCGGAGTTAAAGTCTACAATCTCCTGAGCCTAATTTCAGTGCTCAAAATGTGCTTTGCCAACATCTCTGACTATTTAGAGCTCAAGCTTGAGGAGTCTCCTGAAAACTTTTAAACACTGAGGTGAAATAGTTAAAAAGCACTTGGTAATATAGCCAGATGTATCTGTCTCTGGTATCATTCAAGATAACAAACACAAACTTTTGTTTCTACATGTAAATTCTTCTCTATTTGTTTAACTAGAGAGAACTTCTTGTCTGTTCTCCTGTATAATAAAGGATTTAAACTCTGACGCTCTTAATCCAGATTTCTTTCTTACCATTATAATTCTAATGTTTAAAGAGCCCAAAAAACAAAGTATTTTTTCTTTTACTTCTATTTTCTTTGTGAAAGGCCCATTCCTGTGACATATTGTTTTGGTGTGTTTTGCATTTCTTGGAGGAGGTCAGGAAAGAGTTATATTTAAAGAATATTACTGCTCCCTTAAAAATGATCTTTTTTTGAAAAGTGGACCTCCTATGTGCATGATGTTATTCTGAGGTTTTGACTTGCTCTGTATGTTATGAATCTTGTGCTGACGTGTTAAGATCTACTGACATTTCATGGAGCAGTTTCAATCATGCTGTTTTTAAACAAGTCTTCAGTTTATATCCCATAAGTTTTAATGCATTTCTCCCACACCATTTAGTACCAAGGATATAACTCCTTGTTGTTTAGTCTTCATGGAAATTCATAATACACT